GCAAAATACGGAATTATCAGAATAGGTTTTGTGGAAATTTTAGAAATTTCACTGATTGAAATCATGAGTCAATTGAAGCTAGATCACCATGGAAAACCTGGAAGCACTGGACGGCCGTTCCATCCTAGTATGGGACTCCTCAGCAGTGTGCATCCACGACCTTGCACCCCGCGAGATTCGAACCCAGGACCTATCAGTCTCGCGTCAGGCGCTTAAACGACTGAATCGACGGTGTTAAGGTTAATGTAAGGTCGTGGATGCACACTGCTGAGGAGTCCCATACTAGGATTGAACGGCCGTCCAGTGCTTCCAGGTTTCCCATGGTGGTCTAGCTTCAGCTGACTCATGATTTCAATCAGTCAAATACAGGATTGTTTAGTGTATGAATAATTTATTTCAACAACAAATGAAACAATCTCTAGGTAGCACTACATGCATATGAAAACTTTTCACGAAGTGATTAAGCTTGGATAACACTAATTATTCGTTGAAAATATACTTACACTAAATGCAAATGAAAGACTCCAGGCTTTGGTTCTTCTGGAATTCATGCTTACAGGCTTTCATTTATAGAGTATCAAACAGCTATAGTGGGTCAGTAGTTTTAACTTACGAGAAGATATACTGACCCTACTATAAACCAGTCATCATGAATCTTTTGTTGTTAGTTTTCGATTGGATATTATCAAATCTCTGAGTCTAAAGTTTGAGTTCTTTCAATGAAATTCCAAATCAGTAGAAAGGATAGATAGTCCACATTTATTGGAGTCTTTTTTTGTAAATACCTAACCAACCGGTCTACCGTCCCTCATTTTGCTCAACAGTATTACAGTTGATATTTATTCAAATTTTCTCTGAAACAGTAAGATAAATCATACTTCAAAAATGTGTCTAATAAATCAACTGAATGAGACTAAAATGCATAAACTATTTACCTCTTGACCCATAAACACACTGCATTGAATTATTTTACAAATATTCTTAGCAGTAGATTTTTACATTTTGATAAGGGTGGAAGTTTTTGTTCTTGTGAAACTGTATCCAAAACATTCGATTAGGAAAGATACTGTTTATTGTTTGATCATCAAAACTTTCAAATGAAGTCTATTTCACTTCTGAATCGATAAGACTGTCTATCACTATGAAAACGACTAACGCCAACAAATAGAATGTAGGAATTTGTATTTCACTTTATAAGGATTTCTAGGGTAATGGTGTACGGCATTTAAGATGAATTAATTTTAAAAATATATTTGTGATAATTTTCAATCGTTGATCTGTCTACTGTTTGATAGTTTTATGTCATAATTATTATTAAAATGTTTCAGATTTGTTTAAAATAATGTAGTATATTGGAAAGTGATGGATTGAAATAGTCTAGAATCAATCTTAGTACCTTGAAATTATATTTTTATTCAACCACAAATATATTGACTTATGACTGAAATTGAATATAACCTTTCCAAAAACAAAAGCACAGTATCTGAAGCAGCTTATATAAAAACAATTATCCGTTTTAAACTTTGTATTTTTCATTCTGGAAGTAGTCCATATGATAGTTCTAATTTAGTTAACCTAGACATTCATAAATACACAACTAAAGTTTTCTGTATTCATTCGACTTTTGAGTAGTTATTGCCTATCTAGAGGTAAGCTGGTATATATGAAGCCACGATGGGAAAATCCTTATAATACTTCTTATGTCACTTAAATGCATCACCTTACACTATTCGTTTGATTGATAATGAGAAATAAGGTAGATAAAAGTGACGATCACTTCCCTTTTCTTTCGGAATCTAATCAGAGATCCTGTGTTTCTAGCTCAAAAGTATCTGGAAATATATAAAAATAAGTGTTTGCCTTTAGTAACTTACTCCGTGGCATTAGAGAGGTACACATCTGCTTATTACAGAACTAGCCTAACTTAAAGCCATACTCTTTGTAATACTTTACGTACAAAAATTATGGACATTGAAATCATAAAGTTGTTTACAGTAGATACCTTTAGGACGTCACTTATATAAATCAGAAACTCGGAGTTAGCAATGATAATTATGGTAAAATAATGATATATCGATGAATTATCTGGGAAAATAATGGCGATGTACGTTACTTAGTCCCAACCACTGTCTACCACTACTCTACACTGACAAATACAGAAATAGCTCAGGAAATCAGGACAATTTATGACATTTTGGAAACTGACTCTGAGTCATGTAGGATTGTGTATATTTTCTTGAGATAGAGATGTATTATAAAATCAATCAGTAGTTAAAGCCTTGAGGTAGCATCTCACAAAAAGTTTCGTGGTTTTAAAGTTTCATGCCCTTTTCCTCCTAGTTTTTATGAGTTAAGAATAAAAACTAGGAGGAAAAGGGCATGAAACTTTAAAACCACGAAACTTTTTGTGAGATGCTACCTCAAGGCTTTAACTACTGATTGATTTTATAATACATTTTATAATATATAATTATTATTATTAAACGTCAAATAGGCAATAAAACCAATGATAAAGCATTTGAGACACCTTAATGTTTGGACTAATGAAAGCGATCTGGTTTGACGTCAGAAAAAATAAGATACAAGTCTAACCGTTTGATAATTAGCATACAGCAAAGGGCAAAGAATGAAATGTGTGATAGTGCACTAACATTCAATTTAACAGGAGACACAACAACTTAACAGCATTAACCAAATTCACAGACAAATCGTCATATTGTTCGACACAAATTTAAGATTTTCAACAAACTAATTGATTTCACATGTAACCTTTGAAAATTCCTGCAAGGGTTAGATCACTTTGATTTAAAAGGAAAACATTTACTTAGTAAGAAGACGTTCTAATAGGTTTGACGCTCATACGAATTTATCTTGACTTTTGGACAAGCTGATCATTCTAAACTTTTCAAGTAAATTGTAACCTATTATATGCTCAAATTTTATTTGTCCTTCTTAGTTATTAACCGTTAACGTTGAACAATTTTATAAACACGTGTTTGTATATTTATCCCCTCACATCCTTAAATTTTAAACATCGTCTATTTAAATATGAAAAGATGATTCATACTTAGATAGGGTAGACTCCTACAGCCTTTCTTATATGAATTTGTTGAATTTCCGCATTACCTGCTTTATCATAGTTTGTCTGTGGTTCACATGCATAAATGGAATAAAGTAATATTAAGCACATTTTGTATTCGACTTTTTATTTTTTTATTGTATTTTTTGAATAGTCTGTAGAAGATACATGAATCTAAATATAATATACAAATTTCGTTAGCACCATCCAATCACTGTCGTAGTTATGGAGCCAATAATGGTCACGAAACATACTGGTTACCAGAATTTTTGCATGCTAACCAAGGCCATTTTAAGTATGTTATATAATTTTAGGTACTAGATAAATAAAATTACAGTAATTTACAGAAGAAGTCTTCTTTTTAGCTCATTAGATTCGACAAAAGTATCTATAAGCACGTTATGGTAGATTAATGTTGACTTACAAGTAATTTGTCATCACAATGAAAACAAATAAATTTTCTGATTTTAAATAGTAAGTATATCCTGTATCAAACCTAGAAACAAAGTTTGTGATGTTATTGTGTCAAAATAATCTATTAGAGGAAGCTGACAACATCATGGCAAGCAAATGAAAAGGGATTGAACGAGTAGTAACTCCAACGTATCAGGAGATGCTGAACCCTAAAAAGAGCCAGAATAAACAGTAGATCTCCGTAGACAGCCTGGGTAGAACTCAAGAAAAGAAGAACAATAAGGCAAGAGCCGAATACACTGAAGCAAACAAATGAGTGAAGAAGAGCATTAGAACTGACAAGTGGAGATTTATAGAAGACCGAGCAAATACAACAGTACAAGCTGTAAGAGAAGATACGTAAGAACTATGTGATATAACGAACAGGTCGAAAGGGAAATAAGGTACACCAGGGCAACCAGTCAGGAACAAAAAAGGAAACCAGTCACTGTGGCTCAAGGGGAACAAAACAGGTGGGTGCAACACTTTGAACAACTCTCGAATGAACCACTACTACTGAACCCGCTAGACATGGAGGCAGATATTGCATACATAACAAAAAATGTATGTAAAGGCAGTCAGTACAATTGGACAAGTAGAAGTACAGGCTAGATAAAAGCCTCCCTGAACATTTGCAAGAGTAAAAGCAAGACCCTAAATTGCAAAACAGCGAGGACTAATCAAATTAAAATTGATGGCAAAGCCTCCATGTACCTAGGTATCACCATTGATAAACAAGGAGAATATGATGACTTCAGGACTAAAAGAAAAGAGGTCAATAAAAGACAGTACAGAGAACCGGGTGGTAGCATCAAGACAAAAATAGCACTAGACAACAATTGAAAAAGAAAGTCGAGATCAAAGTTACTAGGGGATCTCTAGTCAGCAACCTATAGCCTAAGATGGGTGCCAAGCTTACGCAGGCGATTGGGTAATTTAGTAAGTGTGAACGTAAATATGTAGATAAACAGGCAGATAATTAAGAAATACTGGGACCAAAAGTCTAATACTCAGATAAACATTCACCATTGTTAGTTCAAAAGCATTTTAGGTGACTGAAGGTAATTCTGTAAAGCACTACTAGAGGTGGCTTTTAAGATTATCAAAGGGGTGGATATGTTGTCAAATTCACTGTCACACGCTGATGATAGGGTCCTACGTCGTTTATATATTTACAAATGGCTGAGTATAGTATTTTTTGTGGAAATACACAATTTTTTGAATAAGTAATTTCGGCTCGCTTTATTCTGATTTACAAAAATAATTACTATTCAGGGAAAATCTACGGAGCAAACAACTTAGCCACTACTTATCAGTACCCTAACATTACTATTTTTAATTTATACAAGTAAGCTCTGAAATTGGCGCAATATTATTTAGACGCTTCTAGTAACTGCCGGAGTTTCTTTCGTAAGAATCAACCTGAAATAGACAGCTAAACAAAAATATCATTAGAAGGTACATACTATTTGAACCAAATAATGTATTATAAAGTCAGAGAGTCATTTTTACTTGTCAAAGCGGTACAAACAAGAGCAAAACAGCATAAAGAAACAAACCGAAAAAGACAAATGACTGCGTTCGTAATTATAATTATGTACACGATACCATTTATGTTTATCAGAACTTCATTGAAATAATTATGAATACGTTTTTCAACAGCACTGAGCAAATATCCAGTCTTCCTTAGAGGTCAGAATTCATAGACCTTCAAGCAATTTCCAGCTCCTGTCCTAGTATATAAGCAGTCAGTTTAAATTAATCATCAGTCATGAACTATCAAGTACACAAAAAGCAACTGATAAAATTGGCTTTACATAAAGATAGTTGACACCGACAGGAATTTCCTGGCAAAAACCGGTTAAGTTTGCAGGCATAATAAATGATAAATCCAAGTTTTCCGGGTAAAAATGGAGGATGACCAGTGATAAATTTTATATTGATTTTAATAGAATAAACGTTGCTTTCAGGATGTCTTGTGAGCTCACGATTCCCAGCGATTTGACAACCAAACGTAGAACATTGATTTTCCTACCGTGATTATTCAGTATTAAACACGAGAACAATACTGCTGAACCGAGAAGAATAAGTGTATGTGTAGATGACTTAAAAAGAAGGTTATATTTTTTCAGTTCTAGGTTCAGATAATTGTATTTACAGTAGACGTAGAACATCACCTCTTTTTTCAGTGGGAAATGTATTTTGCTATCCTTGCTAGTAAAAACAACAGCAAGAAACTCTATACATTCCTCTAGAGTTCTGTACATAAGAGAGTCTTGCAAAGTGTTTAGTACACACAACTCAGCATCTATAATCTCATTTTTGATAGATGGATGACCTAATTTAAGCATAACCTTTTCGGCATCTGATGTTTTAAGGATTTTATGTCTATAAATCAACTTTGTGACCACTTGTAGGACAGTGATTAGAAAAAGTACAATTTTTTTCTTCTTTGGTCGGCAAGGCTGGTCAAAATTAGTTATCCACTCTTCGAATGACAAGTTTTTAAAGTACAGAAGTAAAAATCTGTCGAACATTTCAATCGTTCTGAACGCCACTTCATCAGGGGCTTTTAACAGCCTGCACAAATTCATAACAAAATCACATACGTTTTCACTGTAGAAAAGGCCACGATATAAAGAGTAAGGCTTGATATATTTAGGGTCAGGTTGGTTCGAAAACTTCAACCACTTTTGAAGCTCCTCATTGTTCAAATCATCCATCCAATTTTTAAAAATTCACTGAGCATCCTCAAAAGCTGAGCGAAAGTTGTTATGGAAGTCAAAATGAGCGGGACTTTACATTTCAGTTTCGGTATGAGGATATAAATTTCAACTGTGCTTGAAAGAATAAGCCAATTGTTTGTCCCTTGGGTTCTACATCTGAATAATTAAGTTTATTCTTGGTTACAGAAACATATTGTTCATGTAATGCTTTTTCCAGAAACTGAAGGATGCAATAACTTATTTTGTAAAAGATGAACCCATGAAGAACAATCACAGAGATCCAACTTAGTATAAACAGGACCAAAGTGAGTTTCAAGCCTTCTTAAGAAAATATCTTCAGACGATGACATCGCTACGGCTTCTGGCGGAGAGTTTCACAACTTAGAGTGATATTCATGTTAGGTGGAGATTGTGATACCGGAATATCTCGAAAGGTACGATCTGAGCAAAGCATCTATTATGTCCATTATTGGTACTCTACATTCATTATAATCGAGAGTGAGGAATTTCTGCGTTGACCAGCCGTGTATCTTATATGAGGATTCTCGTTAAGTGGAGGAATTATGTGGGTTGACTTTCTATCTCTGAATCTGAAAATCACCTGTATAAAGGAGAGTTTAAAAGTCTACAGAGTTAGAGGGGCCATCAATCGACAAAAAGAAAAAAATTGGATAAGAGATTGAACCTCGCTGAATTTCACTTGTTACAGAAAATCAAGTTGATAGATTACTACAAACTTTGATTATACTCGCTTGGGGAATGTGAGCGACGCGTAACCGTACACCCATAAAATTCGGTTCCTAAGACGAAGTACGATGGTCCGCCCTATTGGATACCTTGCAGAAGTCTAGGTGATCTCCATAGGCCGGACGGTTATATCACAGTGAGCATGTCCAGCAATTTCACACAGTCAACGTGTTTTTTTAAATCTTGAGTAGTGACAATAAGAGGTCAGTTAACATAAATCATCCCTTGAGGTACTGTGAAGATACGATTTCACTTTGAACGCTTCAACAGGTGCTGACATAACATTTTCCAGAAAAGAATTAGAGTAATTCACTACTCGACGCGAGAAACGGAACTCCAGACGAAGACGATTTGATTTCGGTTTTTCAGTTCTCTTAGAATGTCCTCACACATGATAAGGTAAAGGTAGGGCACATTAATACTAATACGATTGTTCAGTATATAGTTAGCCAGTAATTAATCATTCTGTTACATGTGGTAAGATAACGGAAGTAGGTTGAGGCGTCTTAATAAGGTAAGAAATGGTTTTCGGATGATGTGCGAACAGCTCCTGTTTGGAAGTAATTACGAAGGACTACTTAGTAGCTCTTTCTATCACATTTTCTTCTCCAGAGAATGAAAAAAGTTAGTAATCGGACACTCTCCACTATTTTTACTTTGTTTACTGGCATAATTAATCCCTTTTACCAGCCAGAATCTAGTTTTTTTTCGGACAAACAAACAAACAATTTTAGAGGCTTTCAAAATGAACTTGAATGAGAACCAAAAGCTCCCTCAAAAATACTGGTTGGGTTTATATGTGTTCACATTATAGTCATTCAACATTCTGCCCATTAATTTATTGGCTGCTTGCCCTAAAAGCCCAGCGGAAGAAATGCACTAATTGCGATTACGAAAAATACAAGCCGAAATATATTTAAATAACTGGTCAGGACCATATTACTCACAATACTAGACTAACTCCTAATGGGATTACCAAAGACAAGAACTTCAGTGAGAATACAATGGGCGAGAGAAAAAATCCGTCGATCTACACAAGGTTGACACAAAGACAATGGACATTGGAATTAACCCAAATGACCTGAACGGATGGAAGTATCGGAATAACAGGTAAACTGGGAAAGTAGGGAACTCACTAAGAATAGGATGATAGTATTAGTTTGTGCTCATGATGTATAAGTTACAAGACTTGCATCAGATACAGACATCCCGAATGTGAGATAGTAATTCATGCGTCCGTCAGTTTGTGGACATTGAGTCTGCTCCTGAAGCCATGTATCTGGGGGTTGTTGTCACTCCAACTGGGAGGACACAACAGGTGGGTACAACTGTAGAAGATTTCCTGTATATTTGCATAAAAATCTCCTGTGCATACACTCGAAATAGAAATACTTCTTCGTTACACTCAGAATGTAATGATTTTCTATCGTCCTCTGCATTTACGTACATTACTTTCACATTAAGTTCATTTGTTTGCTGTCTGAAACCGGCTAACCTCATTAAGCCAGTGATCCTCTAAATGACTGTTTTAACTTTGGTTATAACTTGACATTTTGATTTTGGTTGTCACACTAAGCAACTGTGTTTTTGACTGATTCTGTTTAATTTCATCCGTTCCTAGTGGGATAAGTATTTGGTTTCCTAATTGGTAAAAGCCTGTTGTTCCGAACAATTAACTGATCTTTTATGACTGATGACAGTCTCTTTTGAATAGCACTTTGTTCCTTTGTTCTAAGAAATCTAATTACTGATTGTCAAGTAGTTAAAGAATATTCTTGATGTTTTAAATTACTATTCTACAGCTAACCTGACAGGTTTTTTGTCGTGACTCTGGCTATGCCCGGTGGAAAAATCGTCGTTCAGATATTTTCTACTCATCATTCCATATACGTTTGTTTATGTAGGACGGCTCGTCCACATTGTTTTGTAAGTATCTTCATGTTATCAAACCAAATATACAGTGGATTGTCGACTATGATACACTTGAACCAAGGTGCATCACTGAATCATTCTCACGTCCAGGCTAAGGATTTTGAAACCGGCTCTCAATTAAGAAGTGTGAGATCATGCTAAAGTTCGCTCTCACGGATATGAGGTTTTTAGAGGTCAACCAGGTACAACGTATTATTGAAACCTTTGTAGGACATTTCCTCCGGGGTGCATTGACATAACAGTTATCCTGTGTGAGATCATCAGATCACATCCTAACATCATGTATCTAAGCATGAATAATACCAGCCGCCTTAATCTATCCCTTTAGATTTTTCATTCATTCACATCACCTACTTAATTCCCCACACCTATACTCTGTCTAAGAGCTTCATGTATTTTTTTAGAGGAACATACAATCTCTACCTTTAAACCTTTCGAAACACTAGGTTTCCTGGTTTTTTTGTTTTTCAGTCTTCTCATAAGTTTATTGAGATATTTCAGTTATTACCACAATCTGAAAACACCTATCGCCTGGCACTTTGGAAGTGAATTTATTTCTCAAAACTCAGTAAGATCTGTGGTCAGAATTCTTTAGGAAACTTTATATTCTGCAAGAGAATCCACACTAATCTTTGCAAAATAATACCGTTTTCTAGGATAAACAGTGACTACCGTACGAACGAAATCGAGGTGAACCAAACATTCAAGATTGTGGTATCAGTGGAGTTCAAAATTCTGCTCACTGTCCTGCTTAAAACAAATACTTGACACGAAACTTTTGATGTTATCGACTCAGTAAAACAAAGGAAATCTATTATTAAGATAATCTTAAAGGTATTTCAAATACAGTTAAGGTACTCTGCTTTTGTTTTGTAATATTGGACCATGTTTTACTTTAAAGTATTTGGTCTCTCGGTTTTCATTGAAATCATCTTCCCTTCTGTATCAGATCCTCTCTGAATTTTGTGTTAATTGTACTAATTGATTATCCTTTTGTGATTTATCGTACGGCTAATAAGAATTCCAGGTGAGACTATTATTTATTGACGATCTTTGGGCAAAGCTAAAGTGACCTTAAAAGTATCTACGTGATAACTAGGACCAAATGAGGGTTATAAAGCAGTGTGAAGAATTAGAATTATGATTTACAGTTAATGGTTGGGGTTAGGAATTAGATTTAGTATTTTCATCACGAACTGACATCAGCTGAAATGACGAAACGTTATGTAAACAAATGAATGAAGTTTCGCACCAAAAGCCGAGGCCTGTTATCTTTTAACTGATCGTTTCGTCCATAACTAATAGGCTCGTCAGCATACCAATCCGACTACTTCTAATAACCACAAATTTCTGAAATGATGGCAAGACTTTTAATTGTAAAGCTAATATTTTAGCTAGAAATAGACAACTTCTTTCCTAGGATTAAGAGGAGTTTTTTGACTGCTGATTGATGGACGAGATACTGCAGAAACTCTCTTCAGTGCTCACTTGCTTAAACTATTAGTACTTCCATACCGCTTTGCATGAACTTTTTAATTCAGCAAGAGCAAGTCAATCAGTTTAGAAAGTCCTATAGGTGACTGAACATATATTTGGGCATTCATAGAGCTAGTGTCATCGTACTTGTAATAAGAGAGACTAAAAGAGTTGTGCTGAGCAACACAAGTTTTAGCAAGAATTATCATTTCATTGACTTCTGATAATTCACTGTACATCTAAGCAGCCTTGCGAGCATAAATGAACACATTCGGGTCTATCACACTTTGTAAAGGCTGTGAGTGTTAGATCAGTGTGAATTTCGTGATGCTGTTCCATCATTCATCGCATTCCATCGGGTATTGACAGCTCAGGCGATGACAGTCACTTGTTTCACACTGTCCAGTAACCAGCCACAGACTTTTCGATCATAACACGAGAGAAAAGAAGCGACCACACTATAACAAAGGCTTAACAATTAAAACAGTTGAATGAAAAGGGAAATAGGTGAATCTAAAGTATATGGATGACCTTTGAGCAGCGACAGAATAACTTTGAAAACGTCAACCCACGAACTAAAACTAAATGAGGGTTGTAAACCAGTGTTAAGAATTGAAATTATGATTTACAGTTGATGGTTAGGAACTAGATCTAGGGTTTTCATCACGAACTGACATCAGCTATAATCCCGAAAGTGATTAGCCAAATGAGTGGATGAATGTTGCGCTAAAATCAGAAACCTTTTATTACAAATTTGATTGGTTCGTTCATAAATTATAGTCTCGCCTGAGTATATATGCAAAACTAAACTCCACCTGAAAATAATTCAAGTTGAGACAATGGTCTTGATTTGCTATAGACGACCAAAATTATGACATTAACTCAACGAAGAAGGATTACTCAGACTGTGGACTGAAATATTTCGAAGCGATTAGTTAAGTAACTTTAGGTTTGCCATGTGATTGTTCCTATTTATTTTTTATATTTATTATCTCTGAACCCATAATGAGCTGAGGGCTGCAAAGATACAGCAGTACTTTAGTCGAAAACTTCAAAATTATTCTTCCGAAAATGTCATCCAAACGATAGAAAATACAGGATTCCAGAATTGAAAAATCGCTAAAGGATCATTATATTTTACTCAGGATTCGCAGCTATTGGTATTGTATGTAAGAAATTTTATTCTTCTTTTAATTAGTGCTTACGTCTGCATGATATTTAAGCTCACATCACGAGTTATCCATTGTACCAAAGTGTTGGATTGAGAACATACATATGGGTGGATAGACATACCGACGAACTCTACCGAATGTGTAACTAAATGGATAGAGGTTCTGCAGAACTTTAGATTTTAAACCATACAAAAGTGTTCATTTCTACTCAAAATGCTAATAATTAGAACAAAAGCATCAATAGATTCAAATTTTACACTAGTTTATTATTTTCTGCATTCAAATGGACTGTGTCACCTCTAACACAACATGAATAAATCATTCAAACACCAGATTTTCTCTCGAAAACTATCAGTTAGATTAGACCAATACCGAAATTATGTAGTCAATAACTACATCTATAAATACACCAGTTTCCGGATGGCTTTTGTCGTACATTTACACTCCACTAACAACCGAATACTGACTACTAGAAAAGATCAGCAATTTACTCGATATACTAAATAATTACTAGTTCACTTTCACTACATCCCTGAAGTAAAAACATCAATTCAACCTCACTGCGAATGGCTTTAAATTCTCGGCTTTTTCAGGAATTTGTTGTTAGAACTTTTTTTCAATGTAGCATTACAGCTCTGCTGGACAAGTCTCGTATGTGTTTTGACTGAGAATTAAAATAAAAAAGACAAACATATTATCCTTACGCACTCCTATCTAGGAGGGAACTACTGTCCATAGCTGGGATCAAGTTGTGTAAAAAAGTCATTTCTTGAATATTTCCGTATGTTTTACTAAGAAATGCGAGCAAAGGAACTGTTGAGATAATATCTAACGTAAAGTAACACGTCACCATGACATGTTTTTGTCACTTCTCCAATGCTCGTACTCATTAATTTTATGATATTTTACAAGTCAGGTAATAAATACATTTCAATAGCCACGCTGTGTTTTGAATCACGAACTTCTCTTGATGAAACTTATTTTCTACAAAACAACTAACCATATACAACACTCTTAAAGGTTTCCGTCTGAAAAATGTATCAATCCAGGCCCCAACATTATTCGTTACAAAAGCAGACTACCTAGAAACAAGCAGATTGGAGATTCCATCCTTCATATTGTCATTTGGCTTTTTGTCTAGCCAGTATGCCTTACCTTCTCACCTTATGTTCCAAGGACATTGCGAGTCTTATTCGAATGTCAGTTTTATCAGACATATGTTAGGAATCAGTAGAATTACGTCTGTCAAACAAGCTAAATGTTTGTCGCCATTCAACTACGATACGAGAGCTTATAGTACTATATAAAACACAACGTTGATTACTGATGTAAAGCCAGGGTGATAGGAGTAATCACCCAAACCAGCCAAAAATTGATTGATAACATGTGATAGTTACACCACACACAATGTTATTACCAGCAGTTACACAGTATAATGAAAAATGAATAATAAATAGCTATCACCGTTCTGTTCGTATTACTCAAATAGTCCCTCAGCACAGTATTGTTTGATCATGGAGAAATCATGAGGGTCAGACGGATTTCAATTCGATCAAAGGATTCTGAATTATATTTATATGGCAGCCCCTTTAACAACTTCACCAACTAGGTATTTTAAGAAATGCACAATAACTTTTCACCTTAAAAAATACACTTTCGGTACCTGTGTTCTCAAGACAACAAAATCAACTAAACAACCCGATAATCATAATTTTGGTACCGGTAATTTAACGAGACCGAACATGAAGCCAAATATTTGACGATTAGAGGCTTTGTGGTGATACATCGCAACGAGATGGTAGGATTTTAAGTTATTACATATATATATATATATATATATATATATATATATATATATATATATATATATATATATATATATATAGATAGATAGAGAGACTGTGAGGTAATAATCATTGTTCGACAATCCTACAGAAGCTTCAGGTAAACTATTTGATCAGACTTAGATCTAACCTAGAACTAACAAATACACACCCTCACAATCTGGTAAGTAACATACGAATCTTGGTGAGTTTGGGACACAAACTATTTATAATTAAGTGAATGACTGTTGACTCTTTCGTTACAACCAACATTGGAGCAAATAGTTGGTAGTAATACTGCCTTCACTTTAGAATTTCAATCTTCACAGTACTGAAAAAAGGAATCAAAATCACATCTAGATCGGATGTTTTGATGAACCCTGTAGAGCTGTACCGGATTACTACGGACATCTTGAATAAAACAAATATGTAGCATTTCTACATATTATTTACCAGGAAACCTCAGAAGAGTTTATATTTCATTATCATGATCTAAACCCATTCTGATCATAAACCATATCTATCTGCTCTTCCATTAACACCATATTTCCTAAATACCTCGTCAATTTGTAGTGAACAATATCAGTGATCTGGATCTGCCTTGCCGATAGACTGAAACATGTTTACGAAAAATGTTTAGAACCACTGCAACTGATAGAATCACAAACCGCCGAAACCAGAAAAAGGTTCGTGGAAGCTATTAATACATTTTGAACATCTAAGACATACGTTGACGACATAATTTCTATTACTTTTTTAATCACTACAATTGAAGGGTATAGTTATTTACTGAAAAACATTTTTCACAGTTGGTACAAACCGTTTAATAGAAAAATCATTTTACAGAAGAAATGTATGAATACAACGAACATCGATATTTAAAACAAAATTTTAAGATGAATAGATAATAAGTAGTAGCCAAACACTATTAATACATGTGTTGAAATCATTCTTACCAGTTTGACGATAAAATTGGAATAGAAATGCGCCAAAATGGCTACCAAACATACTGATCGGGTGTAAAATTAATATATCTATGATCATAATAGTAAGATTCAATAAATTCCATCTTATTATATGGTTCCGGAGTAAAAAATGCAATTTTATCCTTGTATGCTTGTTCCATAATAGCGCAAGAGACTTCTTTTGTAATTGTTGGCAATCTAGCAATTGATGGATACATACTACCTTGACGTATATCATCGTCTGTAACTAATTCAGATAGTTTCTGGAATAATAATCAAAAGCAGAAAATGATGAAAAATTAGAGTACGTGTTATATATAAGACGTTTACAATCACTGTAAAAATGAAACATGTAATTTATGAAATTGTTACGTAGGCTAGGAAAATTTATACTAGTTAACCGCATGAGTGTTTTTACACAGAAACTAAATTCTTTGAAAGTAGTAGCGATCAAAAAAGTCATACATCATAAGTAATAATAGGCTTAGGGTAGACTGCACTGGTTGAACTAAGAGCTCGTTATCACAAGAATATGAAATTGCGAAAAAGTAAAAAAATCTAAAGCACTAAATAAAATTTATTTCCCAATGAGCTAGACGACCAGTGGTTATGTTCACTCAAAAGAACTGAATCCGGACTGTATTAATAACTAAAAAAGAGTACTTCACACAAAATACCAATTTTTATGCAAAACGTGATCAATGATAAGATTCTCTTGCATTTATAGTTCGGAGGATAAACTAAACATTACGGTACAAAAATCATATGATTTTATGGTGGAAAAGTATAAAAACACCCATTGAGATATATAATAAAAGAGAGTGTGCATGGTTCAGAGAAATGGTATCTTTTAGGCAATCCCAATCCCGAAACTGTAGTCATCCTGTATTTGTGTTGTCTAGTTTCACTAACAACCATTTTTTTAACTGTTCCAGTGTGTTAGCCTTTTGTCATAAACAAATCATTTTTTTACTTTATTTCTGATTCCATTTTATTTTTCAATTTATCTTACCATACTTGGTAATTCACTTTCCATAATTATTAATATTTAACTGACTTTTCTAGTACGCTTGATTAAAAAATTAACTTATTCACTAGGTATGAGGTATTAGCCGCACCTTAAGTATAATGGCTCAAGATACTATCCGGTTTCACAAACTGAAGTGGGAGGATAGGGTTTAAACCAGGGACTTAGTGTCCCAAATTCAAATGCCTTGACAACTAAGTCACCCTTCTATATACTTCGCTAGAATTCTATTTTTATTTGCTTAATAGAAATTACATGTGTTGTAGCTATATTGCAATTGTTCTTTTGTTACTAAGTCCGATAAATTATGCTCATTAAGAAATAAATTGTAGATTATTTCTTTAAAATAGTATGTTCTGTTACCATATATCTTTGAGAATAAAATCAATGAAAGAGATTTCTTCACCGAATCCCTGACTGACTCTTGAATGACTGGATAAATATAAAGCATAAGAATGTATTGTATAGTAAGGAATCTTAACGACAAGGAAATAACATTTGTTACAATATACAAAATTTATAAATGATTGAATATAGCTCAATTTTATAAATAGTACGGAATTATATACCAAAGAATTAAGTTGAATATGATATTACATTTAGAGCGAAGGTGTCCACACCACCCTAGACATACTTAATTCTAAGCTAATATGACTATTGAGAGCTCAGAAACATGTAAATAAAATCATGGATCTACAGGTTATCTTGCTGTTAAGGGCCATCGACGAGCACATTATGGGGATTAAGTAAGGCCATTCATTTATTGATACAAAAAATTTAGTGAATGGGTTTGAGTAAATCCACTAGTGAATGTGCCTCTGACCAAACTTATCCATCGGGTTCCAATTAACTACTGAGATATTGGGTACGTGTTCTGTCAACGTTCACCCCATGTGTTACAAAAAGGACCGATTTTAGCGCCAACACTACCACGCGTCATTACGTTGGTGATGTAAAATAATTACTATCATTAGTTGCTGCTCGGCAGCCTATGCTCCATTAAGAGTAACAGGTGTAAGTAAGTAAGTATAGTTGTTATTGCCGTTGACGTATGTGGTTGGAGAAGTGTCCTAAAGGTAAAGCGATATAAAGGATGATTAAAATTATTTCCCTTTCACTCAGGTATACTACGGTAATGAATATAGTCACCTTATATCCGATCCATGATTCACGACCCAAAATAACACTAGATAATATTTTATTACACAAATACAAACGGTCACACTCAGTGGTCTGGAGTAGAAATCAATGAGAGGGAAAGAAATCATATATTTAATAGTCAGTAGGTTGTGGCTGTTTGTCCACACTCAATGACCAATCACGTTTTACTCCCACTCTCACACATCGCAAAATTTTATTTTTGAAGATACCACAGGGTATTTTAGTTGTAATGCAAGAGTTGCGACATTAGCATTCATTTGGATTCTTCGACATGCGTGGGTGGCATATCCGTGCTGTACATGGGACACTAATATGTAAAAATGAAGAGTTAAATGTCTCTGGAGTTTATAAATCATGGGTTGGTAGCCTTCGTAAATGACTACTAAGATCCAGAAACCTCGGTGTCAGACGTGTTGTGCCGGAAAAACAAAAACGCTGATCACTTAAACTCGGAACGAGGGACCACGGCAATTCCCACAATGCGAAAATAAGAACACAAGACTGGTATAAGTGAAGATTTATTAGCCCCAAACACTATGACAACGACGAATCAAAATAGTCTAAAATACACTGGTTTATATATTGATTGTACACCCATTTTTATTATTAATTAGGATGAAATCACATACTCAGTCATAACAAATCACTTACAGAGCATAGTTCATGTCAAGTGAATACAAGAATATCGTATATTATAGAGAAGGAAATATCACACTGAGAAAACAACTCGAATACTACACTAAATGATCCTCACGTTGAATCAAACGGATGTAATGCTGAATAAAACTCATAATGAGTAATTCAATCGAAAATTGACTTTTCTTTCCATCATATCACGTGCTAAGTGCGATGAGACTGCTTAGAAACATTTTAAATATAACACTATTATTAAGTTAATATCTTTTGGTCAAGATGCTTCTATAGATTTTGGACAACTAGTATTTTCAAAAGTACTGATCATTACATTTTATTAAACAACATTTGTGAAAACGAACGCCTACATTAGGTTGAAATCATAATAAATTCAATATGCATAGTAATTTGTTACTTTTTTTTTTTACAAAAAAGACCAAGTTAGAAAGAAAAAAACAACAGGTAATAATGTAGTTTACCTTTGCTGTAGTCAATAGCAATTTATAAGTTAGTGGACGAATGACAGCCAATGATAATGCGTTAACCAAACTTGGAAAAACATAGCAGTTGTTTCCTTGACTCGGTTTTAATAAACGATCATCTGGTGTTCGAACAGGTTCTGAAGAAGAACCACTGACAAATATACATCGCCACTACACATATACAAGGGAAATAGATTTTAAAAAGTTGATAAAAGTCCCTAATGAATTTCTTATTATTAAGTGTACAAATTAGAACAAAACTATAAACAACAAAACAGGATAACTAATATTAAGATGACAGGGTGCAGAAGTGTTTTAATGGTTAAGGTGCTCCTATTTCGGACATTGAGTTGCAGGTCCGAACCCTGCTTCATCTACCTCGGTTTGGGTAACAAGGTAGTGTCAACAGCTTTTACACTTAAAGTGTGGATCAAAGCCAAGTACACGAATCCCCACCCGGTAAACGAGTCTAATCACCATATCATGGGGATAAACAGAAAAAATTTAATACAATCCAAAAGTTTTGATATAAATTTAGTAGGAGCAAACGTGTTGTTAGTTACCTCATCAAAAGGCTATGTAGAAATGTCAGAGGTAATGTTTTTTGATCACAGTGTTAGGCAATACTAATTTTAATCTCAAAGAAACAGAATTTGCACAAAAGACCCCGAATCCACCTTACGAAACAGCCAAATAACAGTTGGCTATTACTAACGTGGAAAAACTGTTAGTTTATTTCGATTCAAAAATCTTCAGGACAATTTACTGCCACTTTATACGTTTATGTGATCGTTTCAGAAGGTGGTATTACAAAATGATATACCAGATTATTCTCTGTCCCAGTAAGTTATTAATTAACATCTATCATAAACATTGTGTGAACAGCAGTATATTAAACAAACATCATTTACAAAATTAATCTCAGTAAAAAAACATAACATACTTCTGTAGCCTTATAAGCCATCTGAGAAGTGCATTCGCCGAGATTTGATTGATTGCTTAGGACAAATATGATAGGAGTCTTATGGATTGTTGACAGTTCACGAAGAATATCACGCGTGAATGCACCACTTTGTCCAGAAGCACCTGCAAAGAAATGAGGAAGTTTATCATGAGATGAATAGAATTTGCTTTAAAATAATCGGAAAAAGAGGATAAATATACATATGCGATCTCTTCCTCAAGTTAGAAACCCTACGTTAAGTTCACTGGAATAACACACCTAAGGTTAGTTATAGCCAAAAGACTGTTTTGGCTTCTCAGAGATTTTGTATATGACGATCAACAAATAACGAATAGCTTAAGGTAGAACTCAAATTTAGGGTGATAAATACAACAAAGACAGTCAATTGTCAAAACAGCCAAACAAACATCATCCATTAAAAATGGCTGTCCAAACCAAGTATGCGATAACTAACAAAAGAATAAATTCTAACTACTCGTAAGTAGTAAAGTTATAAAACACGAATTTCACATTTTATTAACTACTGAGAAGCATAGGATAAAAAAGGATAGTTGGAATAGTGTGTTCTATACAATATCCTGATAATACACACGAAAGAGACGTATACTCCCTAATGACACTAATTGAGATGAGAGTCCTTGGTTCAATGATTTTATTTATTTCACAGATTGAAATCATGAGTCAGTTGAAGCTAGACCACCATTGAAAACCTGGAAGCACTGGAGGGTCGTTTCGTCCTAGTATGGGACTCCTCAGCAGTGCGCATCCACGATCCCGCACCACGCGGGGCTCGAACCCAGGACCTACTGGCTTCGTGCGCGAGCACTGAACCACTAGACTAATGAGCTAGCATCCAGGTTTTCAATGGTGGTCTAGCTTCAACTGACTCATGATTTCAATCTGTGAAATTTCTAAAAAAACTCCACAAAACCCATTCTGATTTTATTTATGCACGGATAGTAGGGTGAGTGTGGGAACTGAAAAGAAGACTCGTATCGTAGAAAGATTCCAAATAATCAAATATAGACTGTTATTAGTTAAAACTTGCAAACGAACTCGTTGGAGCATCGAAGCAAGAACTTATGTGCAACTAATCACTCAAAAGAGGTTTGCTAAAGCATGACCATTCAAATCTTAGTGATAATATGGGTTCAACTAATGTCTGAAATACTTTTCAAAAGTTTTAACTAAGCTATATGATTAGGCAAAGCATTAGTCTAAAACGAAAAATAATAGATGGAAATCATTGGGATTATAATAGTAATTTACCAGAAGAAACAGAAAAACGTGTAAGTACTTTCATGATGAACTGAGATTAGTTGGAGAATCGTCTCAAACAAGAAGAGATTTAAAAACAAAGATGAAAAATATGCTTCAGATTAAAATAATAAAAAGGCACTTGGTTGAAAGGGAAAATAAACTTATGAATGTTGAGTTACTTACCAATTAAAACAGAAGGTCGAATTAATCGAATAGCTTCCAAAAGTGAATCTATTTGAGGATAATCAGAACGAGCGAATTCTGATTTTGCTGAACTAAGTTCACGACTCTGTAATGAAACGAAATAATCATGTTATTCGGACAGAAAGTTGCCGTTTCAGCAATAAGAGAAATTCATAATATATGTATTTTCAAGTTATAGTGTAGTGTGGTACATTAACTACTCTATAGGATGACATAAGAGAAAATTGACAAATTCAAAAACACAGGAGTGAGAATACTAATGTTATTGACAATAAGAAGTTGAGAGTATGAAATGAACGAATGAAATCGAGAAATAAGGACGATCAGAAAATACACAAACTTAAAGTTGAAAGAAAAGGTAAAGAACAAATCCGTCTAGATGATTGCAACTGACTTCAAAACACGCCACCCAGGGTTTCCAACGATTATTGCTTACAGTCTTCTCCCATAGCGCAATCGCGAAATCTGCACTTACAGACACAACAGTTAGTGTCTCTGGAGATTGATGCTGTATTGATTTGTTACTATAACTTTTCTCCAACTGACCCCTATGCGAGCTTCTGCTGCATGTCAAGGGATGTGGTAGCTAGGATATGTATTATACATTTCCATTCACCTAAAGCGATAAAAGTTCGTAGCCTTGTCATCCAGTTTAACGTTACTACCTATTATCATAAGCTGAACCTCAAAAACATCGAATTAATAATTCCCCTATACATGAAACAATACTTCGAGAATATCTGTGATCGAATGTCAAGAATCAACTGTTTCTGTCTACATAGGCCAAATTTCACAACTATAAAGTAATGAACTGTTGAGAGTCTCCGTACAAAACAAAATCAACGAATATGAACAGTATAGATTTTTAATTACAAATATATGTGTGAACTGAGAGGAGTTGCAAAAATTTCAGGCAACATTATTTAATACATCGATGAAAATAAAACAATTTGATTAAACCGCAAACAAAAATAAACCATTTGTTGGCGACACTTTCAAAGTTTTTTCCTGATTATATTATTTCAAAGAATATTTTTGTAAAATAAAAAATTATTAGAAAAAAACCATCTCTATGACGTTAAATGCCGATAATTATACTGCTGGTTAAGCCAACAATTCGATTTACAAACTTGAATACGCTAAGAACAATGATTTGGGCAGAATAAAATGAATTTGTCTTATATCATCAGGTTATTATTGTTGCTGTGATCAAATTGTTATTTTTGCACTTATTTTAATTTAAATATTGAATGTTGCGTATATGTTTTTTTTGTATACAAAACAAGCTTACATAATAAGTACAACTTTTAGAGAAACATTGAAGTCATTAATACTGTTATACAATATTATATCGTAAAAAGAACAGATTTCCGTATTATGACGGACTCCATGTGGTCAAGACGTTATTATAGAAGCAGAAATACTGTCTAGTCTGATTATTTGTCAATTTGTTCTGAACTTATTGGACCAATGAACAATGACCGAAACTTTAGCACCTATTGGTCCCCAACCTTTGCTCAACCAAGTATTCAATCAAATGAAATTAGCAACCAGATAAGATTTCCATTGTGTGACCATTCCACCATCCCATACAATAAAATAATTTTCTGATCGCATAGCAGTATGAATAAAAAAGTACATAAGTGCACCATAGCTAAGCAATAGGTCCATAACTAACGAACGACAACTTGAAGAAGGTAAAACGTATAACAATAGTTTATGCGCCAAACGAATAATTACAATTAGGGGGATGCAAGGACATAATAATTCAAATGTCTGATAATTATACAGTAAAAATAATAACAATAATTCCCAATAAGATAGTTCCACGATCTATAGCTCTTTCTCGATATTCACTCCGTTACGATATAATTAGATAAAACTGTCAATAATCTTATACATCAATAATATCATAAAGGTTTATTTTTTATTTTAACATTCACTGAAATCATGATTTAGAAAAACCCTTTAAACATATCCATGTGTGAACCGATTTGTACGATTAGGTAAACATTGTAAACATACACTAAGTTTTCAGGTTATTGTAAACACAATATACTAGCTATGAAAAGTTTTTAATGAATTGGAAAATACGATATTCAAGTGTATTTTTTGGCATTAGCTCATAGTAAGGCGTAAAACTTGACCTTGGACTAATTTATTAAAATTTTGAATATCTTACCAATATTTCCAACTATACACTCCTGCATTTTATAATAAAATATTTAAAATCAATAACAGTAATCGTTGTGTGAAAAAAAATTGACCAATACATGGGCAAGTGCTCCACAACATAGAAGTTTAGAGGCACAATTAATGGTGCAATCAATCCCGATTGATAAACTTCTTTATATGGAGAACAAACAGTTTAGGATAAAGTGAATTCATTTCAATATTCCCATTCTATAAGCATCTTCCAACCTGAGTTATTTTTAAACTAACCACAGTAACAAATTCATTATTTAATTGACCTATATTTTCACGCCGATTTTACCGTTGTTATCCTTGACCTCACTGTTACACTGAAAAAAGTTGCCTCTAACACCTAATCTATTCACAATCTGACCCTATTCTTCACGTCATATAATTATATACTTCCTAATTTTCACCACGAACTGGCCTAGATTAAACAACCACTGAAAACTAGACAGCACTGAACATCTGTGAACTATTTGTGACTGTTTGTAACATTGAATTTAATGATTTTATATCACACTTATTATTATTGGCTTTATTCAATATCATGTCTTTTGGTACAATATAGAATTCTCAGCACAAAGCATTCTAACAAGTTTCCTTATTTCTTGATCGACCCTTGCGATAAATATTGAATGGTCGCCAGTTAGATGTTAGCAGTTCAGGAATCGACATCTGATTAATGTATATTCTTTTCGATGCACATTGCCAGCGACCACGATGTCTCCGATTAGGCTCTTTTGTAACTTGTACAGCGAAATGTCGTGAACTTTTCACAAACTCACCTGAATAGGTTATGCGATCAATTGGTATAATGATGTGTTAAGACGAATAAGAAAGCATATAGCTTGTTGAAATATCCGTATGGCAGGTACATGTAGCCCAGATATTCAAGCAGGCCGCCTTTACTTACCAGGATACTTACAGATCGTGTGTTAAAACATATGTGAGGTCATCCTGTGTGCGTTTTAGAGTTTACTACCTCCTAAAAATCTTCCAAATTACGTCAGTTTGTAGTAAAAATTACTTTCGAATTATTATATACAAACCATATTTGTTGTATCACATTTCATCGATAAAATTGGTGTCTATATAGATTTTGGGAAGACGAAATGAAGTGAATGTCATCCACCTGACAATGTTTGTTACCTTTGCTTCACAAATATCAGTTACCAGAACAGAAATGTCTGGTTTCCCTTCTTTCGTTAGTATTTCCTATTTTATCAAGTGGTATTTAACTAACAAGTGGAGGACTAAAATCATAGAAGACTGAATAGCTACTTCATCTTAGTTCGGTGCTCCTCATGAATATGCTCCTAGGAGCTTCAGGTTTTGTGACCTAAAAAACTCCTTCAAGAGACTGAATTAAAATCTAAAGGTCTACATTTTAAATTCATTCTTTTAGCGATGCTGGTTGACGACATTGGAGTTAAACATCATAATCACAGCTCATTAAAAACTCGGCGGTCGAATCTTGAAGCTAGTGGTTATTAATAGGCGTAAAATTATTAGTTTGAAAAACTGTAGTCGAACTTGATAAAAAAATTTCAAAAACTACCTATTCAAATACCTATGCATACTGACCTATTTCTCTCTTTATCTAGACTTAATGATGTGCTCAGAAATGTTAGTGTATATACAGATATGTAGGCGAAATCGATATAATTAGAGTGATTACGTGAAAGCAGACTATTATTTTCACTGCTCAAAAATAGCTAACACAAGATGGCATATTAATTAATGATAAGTACAGTTAAATAAGTATTTACATACTGTGACAATTAAACCTTTAGAATCCATTATAAAAATACGTGATTTAGCTTCATCTTCAGAGAAACCCTCCTCCATAATTGCTTGTACTAACAAACGTGCTATGCCGATAGAAGCCTAGATAAATAAACAAAAACAAATTATTTAGTGAGATTATTAATCTGAATTGAATAAAGTGAACGAAGCGTGTTATACACAGTTGGTAACCACCTAACCAAGAACTTAGAAAAAAGTTACAGGTATCCAATTAGAGGATTGTATTAATACATATAGGTCTAGTGGGCTGAATCATGTAAGACGATGTTTTTTGTCGAGGTCTGTAAGATAACAGTTATGGTTGAAGGATTACAATAATGACTCAGTGTTGTACAGGCACGATGGGAACAAAACATAATATTGTTCTGTGCTCTTTATATTTCATACAACGAATACTGAAGAGATTGATATGTAATTCACGAAACGAATCTTTCTCGCTTCGTGAATTACTTAAGATTTTTGATGTTAGGAAATAATTATCGTGTACAAGAAGCTAGAATTCAAATATCATTGTAGGTGTCATTACCAAGGTTTGATTTGATAATTTCGAATAAATTGAGCATTGGGTTCATTGTTATAAATAAAAATAATATATTTGTAATATCCCAATGAGTAGAAAATCCAATTTTCTACTCATTGGGATATTACAAATATATTATTTTTATTTATCAAATATCATTGTTCAACACTTATTTAATAGAATTAAATCTTCATACCAGTGCATACAAAACATAACTGAAGACTTTCAACTTTTAATCCAGTCAAACTTAGTCCTTAACAACTGAATGTTCTTACGTAGGGAAATCTATTAATCCTTCTGTTAATTTTCAGTGTCATTAGAAGCTACATATTATACAGTGATTTCAACTGGCGTAATGAGCAAAGCTAACCAGAGTGCACGCTAAAAGCAATAATGGATATTATTTCACTATATTTGCAAGATTTTGTTATGAACATGTAATTATCAGGTGGATTAAGATCAATTAATATATTGTTTTTACTACAAAACCATAAATTGAACAAATCCAAATGAATGAAATAAAGGCATAACTTACTCCCCCGCCACCATAAAAGAGATAACTGTTCTGAGATATTTTCTTTTGTGTCACTCTGGATGCAGTCATTAGACCTGATACAATAACCACAGCAGAACCTGTTATGATGAATAAAAATAGAATGAATACGTTTAAAAAGGCTATTTTTAAGTCCATTCCACAAGTCAATATCTGTCAATTAAGAATGTTTACAATATAGTTCTAGTCAAATCATTAGATTTTTATCTTTAATAAAACAGTAGGAAACACCTGCTACTGTGAGTTCCTGACCAAGATATAAAGAGTAAAACGCTTTGGGTAAATAACATTTAGCTATTAGGTAAGTCAATTAAAGTTCAATTTTTAAACGGCTTAGTTATTGTACTAAAAAACTTGAACTACAAAATCTTTATGACGAAAACCGAATAATGGGAATCAAAATGATACAATTCATGAGGAAAAATTAATGTATAAGAAATTACAATTTTAAGTATATTCTCACAAAAATTTTAATAGTACGCACAGCTACAAAAAGTCCATTTGATTTTATTTTTATCCAGTGGATAAATTATAAGTATAGAAGAGCGAATACATATCTCAGTCGGACACTGGGTGCTGAATGGTTGAAAATCAGTGTCAAATATTTTTGTTTATCTCTGCCACGGATTTATTAGTCTCGACTAATAAATAAACACGAAACCACACCCAGTGCATTTGGGTCTTACAGTGAGTTAAGTAGAAGATCAGTAGATTATTTGTTGTTGGTAAGCTGTTCAAGTACTATCTAAGGCATGCAAGAAGATGATAGTTCTTTTTTTCTATACATGAAAGCATGTAAAAGCTGTTTTAAGCTTTTCTTTAATATGTTTACTCTTTATACCAAATATCTGCATTGTTTTGTCAAGTAGTTTGTGATGTAAAATAACACACCATTGTGTTGCGAATCACTGATTTAAGTAACCAACTTTTAATTACTAAATCACAGTTTTTAAACTTGTCTCATCTACTGAGAATTAGGTATCATTAGTTGAGTCACTAATCCTCAGAGAATGCTTGTGGCTTAAAGTCTGTTCGAAATTAGTGAGTTGAAGCAACAAGTTCTAGACTGATCCAGTGAATCACGTAGTACATTAAGACTATGTTCGGGATGAGGAATCCCCAAATAAAACCTGAGCGAAAAATTAATGTCGAGTTAAGATGAACACATGCTAAATAAATTTATTCAGTGTGAAGCTACTTCGTGGACCTTCAGTGAATTTTTCACTATATTTGTTCATTGATAGTTACTCAATTCGATAACTATAATCACTGTAATCGATATATAACTAATTATCTCAAATGTACATTGAATTCTACTGATTTTGGTCAACAAAGCTTTTATACGACTACTAGACTTCTTACTCTAGGTAGCATATATATCTGGTGCCCTCTTGTACTAATATTTGTGTTCAAATATATAATAGCGTGGTAAAGAAAATGACAGCATCAGTATCGTTCACCGCATTGAGGTTAGAGTTGTAAAATACTGGCTTAGCGTACAAACATATCAGACAACGATCACAAAACTTAATTTCCAATACCTATCATGAACATTTCAGTTTTGTAAATCAATGAATACGCAATGACATTCCAATAATGGATAAAAATAAAACGAGCACTTTATTAACCTTGTATGTCATCATTGAATGTTATGTAGTTCGAACGATATCTCTCTAAAAGTTGAAAAGCATTTGAATTCTTGAAATCTGCAAAATGCAGACAAACATTCGGTCCATAACTAGATGTGATATGGTTGTTAATTGTAACAATATTACAACATACTGTGCAGACAATGACTCCACAACTTCATCCATGAAAGAAATATATTCTTCTCCGGTGGCCCGTTTCCGACGAAGACCAACATAAAACTCATCCTGACAAAAATGGAAACGTTAGTAATTAAGTGAAAATCAAACATTTATATTATTGGGAAATTTGTATGATAAATTGATATATATATATATATATATATATATATATATATATATATATATATATATATATATATATATATATATATATATATATATATATATATATATCCTACAGGGTAGAAAGCTCACAACATAAATTAGGAAATGTTAATGAAAAACGTATAGCATGAAGGTTAACTTTGTACATGATAGTTTTGCATCGATCATAATTTAGCTTGAGCATAAGGACCACTGAATAAAATGCATGGTGATGATGATAGTAGTAGTGTAATTAAGAAAGCAAGTCACTAGACTACGGGTCACTTTCATTTTATGCGTGGATTTTATGCCTTAATGAATGAAGCGTAGTTCGAATCGGTGATCTGTTGGTTGAAAGTTAAATGTCCCAGTCACCGAGTAGTATTTGTCTCTGAACAAGTTTGACTTAAATTGACTGTGCAAATCACGTTCTTGTAGACTACTTTCCCCACGATATCTACACCAGAAGCAACGAGAATTAATCTTCGCAGGAAATCAACTAATTTGAATAAAAACTAGTGAAATCTACGAGAAAAAGACAGAACTAGCAAATCTGAAGTGCAGCTGATTTCTTTTGGTGACAGATCAGATAATAACCGTTTCTCGCAGCTTTGTGTAGACAACAGCCCGTTTCTAGCTATCAATAACTATCAGTAGTCATCACCGATGTGCTACCCGGCTCTTTCTCTCTACATTTAAAGTTTGAACTCAGATTGATCACATCGCGATCAGCTACCGCTGGAATCATTGTGCACAAAACTCCCGCCCTCTATGGAGTACTTGACTCGACTCCGATCATGCCCTCGTTTGAGCTAATTGTATCCTACGCTTCGACGTCCAACAAACTTCTCGTCTTAAACGGATTAATACGGCCAATTTGGTGACAGCTTCCGTTACAACCAAATACCAAACCGAGTTAGGTCTAAGGATAGCTTTAAACCCAACGAAAAGTACAGATGAGTACTGGTTCTAACTGCATGACGCTATGAAAATGACTGACCGAGTCTCTAGTGGCTTCACAAAACATCCCGCATTGTTTTTACAAGTTTTTTTCAAACCCCTTGAGACACGTCGGTCTACTTTGGTCAATCTTGAGTTTGACGATGAACGTAGGATTTTACGTGGAAAAACTGTGTAAAGTTTGAGTGAAGACCAAGAAGTTTTGCACCTAGAGCGTGCTAACGAGTTGTTGGCAGCAGTTGCATCTGATAACTGTCGGAAGCCCTTGCAACAAATCCGATCCACAAGCAGCAAGGAGTCTGAAGCAATATATGACTCCAATTAATAATATCCACCAACGTCTAGGAGGATTGACAGAGTTCTTGAAAGAGCAATTTTACCGGTCTGCTGCCTCAGCTACATCGACCAAACTGTTCTGTCCTCCCCGGTCAGTGTAGACCGATCCACTTAACAAGGCAGAACTACGTAAGGAACTCCAACTGTAGAAGCGCCACAAACCACCAGGCCCAAACAAATTACCTCTAGCTCTTTTTAAGGATAGTGGAGACCTTCTGGTTATTGAACTGACTGAGCTATTTGCAAAAGTTTGGAAATTAAAGTGTTACAACATCCTGAAGTGAGTCGATGTCATCCCTATATTAAAGAAAGGTTTAAGTTACTCATACAATTACTATCGAGGGATGTCTACCTCTGATTTAGTCCAAACTACTGGTCTTAATTATACTTCGCAGACTGTTCATAAGTTGAGAAAGACTAACTCACAAGGAGCAGGTTGATTTTTATTGTTATCGAGGATGTATCAGTCACATATTTACCCTAATACTTATTACAGGCCAACAACCGTTGTGTTTCTTGATATTAGGGCTTCCTTCAATTCGTCGGACAGTGCTGTTCAATGGGATTACCTGTTGAAGATATGCTAAAGATATGTCTCGGAAGTTTTTTAACATCTTAAAAGCTATGTACAAACATCTCAGACAGAGTGAGGGCATAAAGTCACCTCTTCGCGTTGTTCCACATGAGCAATGGGGTTAGGCAGAGTTGTCCAGTCTTACCATTCCTCCTCAACTTCCCCATCGATGACGTCCTGAAAACAACTCCGATGGAAGCAGATAAGTGATGTGGCTCTGTCACCTCGAAAAATACTTGTTGACCTGGAGTATGGGGATGATACTTTTTTGTTGTGAAGTAGTATTCAAGCTCTGTGATCCGCACTTGACTAGTTGGCAATTCGTGCCCGCAGGTACGGCATGCATTTAAATCCGGTAAAGTACTTTTACAAGACCGGTAGGGACCTGTGTCTACACTCGCGCTTAGTAGTGGGAAGTTAAAAACACTCGAAAAGCTCGTGTACCTGGGTAGCTGTATAAGTGCTGTTGGTGGCATTAGTGATGAAGTCAGTCTACGTATATCAAAAACCAGAGCGGCCTATATCAAACTAGTCCATCTTTGGCGCCTTTTCCATGATATTCTGGCTGTAAAATGTCAGATTTACAACGCGTTGGCGACAGTAGTTTGCCTTTATACTTTTGAAATTTGGTCTTTACGAGTCGAGGATGTTAAGCGGCTATCGGTGTGTGTTTGTGATTGTCTGCGAAAGATTGCTGACATTTAGTGGAAAAACCATATTAGAAATGCGGAAGTTCAGCAATGTGCGTCCGAGTGCAGTGAAGATAATTTACTCGGTCACAACCTAAAAACACCGACTTCGGTGGCTTAGACATGGACTACGAGTGTTGTCCCAGCGAATCCCACACTGTGGATTATGTGCCAACACCGATACTGACGGGATAAAGCGATCATTTTACGACACGGTGAGGGATATGTAGGCAGATGTATAGGATTGGTGTCTGCCGGCCAATCAATGTCTGCTGGTTGAGGTTCGAGGGATAGTGAGACACAGACACAGTGGCTCCAAAAATGATCAGAAATAGCTCAGAATAGAACCCAGTGGAGGTCCTGCTGTAAATTACTTGCAATTTTTTTATATAAGTGAGAGCAACTTAACTGAAAGAATCCTGTCTGGTTGTGTTTTTCTAACTGAACGGCTTCTTCCACTATTTTTTACTTATACACATATTTATCCATTTAGTTTGTTATACTATACTCACCTTCCTTTCTCCACTTCTTTACAACCTCGTTTCCTTATTATGTGGCCCAAATATATTTTGGTGCCACTTTGTATCAGTATCAGTAAATAATATATTTTACCATGTATACTTTTATTTTGGGTTTGCTAGCTGTAAAAATTAGACTTGGGTAGTCTTTCGAGACAAAGTTCCGTAAAATGTACTCTTTACGCCAACTGATAGGAGACAATTTATTCTGTTAGTGGTTTTAAAAAATCCAAGCATAATTCACTTACATGTACATAAATAAAAACGTTTTTTGGATGACTTTGTAGTCTTTTAAATTCCAAAAATAGGCATGAGTTATTAAAACCAGCAGTAAGTAGATCAAATAAGAAAAATTAACAGACTACTAGAACAAATAGCTCAACCTTTTTTTAGAAATAATAAGATTAATATATACCTCCAGAAGCTTTTCATTGTTCGTACCAACATCCAACATCACAGGTAGGCAATGATAAGGTTGTAAGCCTCCTAAGGCAGTGTACAGAACAGCCTTGCTTAGAGGAATAGCCATTCCATTAGCGCCCATATCTCCGAAACCCAATATACGTTCGCCATCAGTCATGACTACAGTCTTTAATTAAACTGTATTCAGTTCAGATTTTGCATTTACCTTGATTGTATCAGCAGGCCAATTTTTTAGTAAAGTAAAAATATGTCCTCTATCTTGAATTGTAATGTAAATACCTCTAGAAATATGATAAATACAGCAACTTACCGAGGCCTTCGGAAAACAAAACCGAAATTCAAACATGCTAAGCCAACAGTAGGTGTGTAAATAAGTGGTAAGCAATACTCTAAATGTGTTCTGATAGTCTGCGAAATAATCTTATTAGATTATTATTACCCGATAAAACAGCTTTTCGTTAAGATCTTGGAGGGACATTAGCATCATGTAACGGCTAAGATTATCATCTAGCTGATAAAGGTTTGAAATAACTCGTTGTTCCTCAACATCTTGATTTTGAGGATTCGGTGGCAACAGTCCATGAATCCCCAGAAGTTGGCGTTCATGGAGAGTATACGAGGAACCCTGAGGAAAAACTCAATATGGTGAAGTCTAACCTTATTTGTCCGTGGGTCGCGCAAAATTTCGATCCCTCGGGTCTTTAAGCGAGGCGCATTCCGTATTAATGAAGGGATATAGCGGCAACTCATATCCAGAAGATTTCCTGAAAATGGTAAAGATAACTTCAGATTCCCTAGAACACGTAATAACTCAGAATTTGGAAATAGGACAACAGCAAAGAAATGATCCATATTTTTAATAATTTGTCATCACGAACTTATAGTTATCTAATAAAGTGTACTTCAACAGAGTACAATCGTTCTCAGTCATTATTAGTAATCCAAGCAAACAAAGGTGAACATTAGGAAGATACAGAGGCAATTCCTTGAGGAAATTTCATTCAAATATTTCCCTTTATTATCTTAAAGAGAGTAAGAGCAAAGATTGGTGCACCAATGTAATGGGAAATGCTCCCAAATGAACACCTTCATCTTCCTCAAATTGTTAAACTTTCCCCAAAATCAACACCATGCTCTCCTTTATTTCTCCTACTTTATTTGCTTAGGGAGACAAATTTGCTTTGAGAAGTTCACAAAGTGTGAAGTCGCTGCGCAAAGTGCAAAATAACTTTGACAAAATAATAATTTTCCTAAGCATTGAAGTCATCGAAAAAAAACAGTCAAAGCGGACTCGGGCAACTTTTATGATCACTTCAGTGACTGCGGCAACGACCCAGTGGCATTATCCACTGACAGAGGTTAGTGAGCACTTGAAGGTCAAGGTTTCGTATAACGATTGGTGCGTCACCTCGACAATTTGTAAGGTTTTGCATGAGTGGTCAAATCAAGACGATTACAAATGTTGAGTTCAGCCATACTATTTCTGAGATCCTCCATCTTTCAAGTAACGAAAGTGATACCATCGTTATGATGGATGATATCGGAAGAATCTCCAGCGATATTATGTTGTCGCGACGGATAAAGCTTTCCCCAAAATAGGGAGATTGGGTCAGTACTTGGTGCGAAAAACAAAACTCCAGACGTAGACGATTTGACCCCGGCTTTTATACTTCATACCAAATGAATTCATGCTTTAAGCCTAAATATTACCACTGTCAATCTGGATTTTGGGTCCGTGTGACATTTCAGTTTCAGTTTGGGAAGGACAGGAGGTTTGATGGCCTGTGTTAGTCCTGGCAATGGTGATCTTTCAGTTGATCCAACTTCCTTTTGAAAAAGTCGACGAATGGAGCCTTAATCACGTGCTGAGATAATGAATTCCACTCGTTGATGATTCGATGGGAAAGTCGATTATCATCTGACAAATAATTTGTTCTGGGCTTGTGAACTTTTTTTGGAGTGTCCTCTTAAATTCTTTGTTTTGGAAGACAAGAAAAATGAGGGCGTATCAGGTGCAAATTTATCACTAAACAATTTGAAAACTGTAATCAAGGCGCCTCTAGTTCTATGACATGACAACGGGAAAAGGTTTAGCTTGGTCAGTCGAGCATCATACGGAAGCTCCGCTATTCCGGGAATCAGCTTAGTTGCTGTTCTCTGAACCTTTTCCAGAAGCTCACTATCCTTTTTTAAGCAGGGGCTAGCCGCTTGTATGCAACACTCAAGTTTAGAACGTACGAACACTGCATACAAGGTCAAAAAATTGTCAGCGTCGACATGACTAAAAGCCCTACGTATTGACCATAAGGTTCTAAAACGTTTGGCAGCTACTGCACGCCAGTGTGCAGTAGTCTTTAGGTCTTGGCTAACGATGACTCCTAAGTCATCATATGTCTGGACAACAGGTAGCTCAGTGTTATTCATCGTGTATGTATCTGTACCTTGATGACCGATATGCATCAAAATAAACTTGGAAGTATTTATCGGCAACTGCCAGGTTTGAGACTATTCAGATAATTTCTTCAGGTCATTTTGGATTTCTAAGCTATCACTCTTACATCGTATCGTTCTCCATATCTTGACATCGTCAGCATATAGCAAGACCGATGATGATAGGAGACGAGGAAGGTCATTTACATAAAAGAGGAATAGCACTGACCCCAAAGCTGTACCCTGGGGCACTCCACTAAGCACAGTTCCCCAGCTAGATAACTTTGAGTTCACCCGTACTCTTTGTTGACGCCCAACTAAGAAGTTTTTTATCCACATCAATAGATTGCCTCCAATCCTGACATTTCTTAACTTATACAACAGCCGGTTGTGCGGAACTTTGTCAAAAGCTTTACTGAAGTCAATGAAGGCTACGTCTACAGGTGACTTCTGGTCCTTAAGAGCGCAACAGCTTTCATGAGCGACTAATATGTCAGTGAGACAAGAATAACCTATTATGAAGCCGTGCTGCTTCTCCGAAAGGATCCGTTTTTTATCTAGATGCTTAAACAGCTCCTTCCGAATAATCTTTTGTAAGATTTTAACAACCACACTAGTTAGGCTAACGGGTCGGTAATTCTCAGGTTTATGTTTTGTACATGTTTTGAAGACAGGACTTACTATGGCGTTCTTCTAGTCTTTTGATAAACAACCCTGCGTAACAGATAGGTTAAAGCATATAGTCAAAGGGTTCGCAACGAAGTTAGCTAATTCCTTCAGTAGCCTAGGATGCGATTCATCGGGCCCCGTGAATTTACCTATGTCAAACTTATTTTGTAGACTAAAGACATCGAGTTCTTTAATGGTCACGCTATCCAGTGTATGTGTGGAGGGATCTGTATGCTCTGACGGGAAGGGCGCTTCGATGGTATATACATTGCTAAAGTAGTTCGAGAAAATTTGAGCCTTACCAAAGTACTGTCTCCCCATAGTACAGGAATATTTCCTCTTCTTTTTGTCCTTTGGTTTATATAGGAATACAAGCGTTTAGGACATTCTATGGATTCCTTAACAAGTTTTTCTTCGTACAACTTTCTAGACTTACAGAGGGTCGAGGCACAAGTATTCCGAGCTTTTCGGTACTGAGATTTTGTTTCATCGGTCACCAATAATCTAAATCTATCCCACATTTTCCTTCTCTTACGGAGAAGGATGCGGACCTCCATACTGAACCATGGTGGGGAGTTTCTCGGCCGCTTTAGTATAGTCCAGGGGGTGTGGGGTGTGGTAACTTTTGAGTATGAATTTCGAAATGTGTCCCAGGCCGTTTCAATTGTGGACTCTGGGTTTATTGTCCAATCTACTAACGATGCTGAGTGCATGATGTCTGGTATGTTTGCTTTCCAGACGTTAGGTCTGGATTAGACTGACGCGTGCTCGTGACTGACAGTTATATGGAAATCGAGAGTCAAAACTGCGTGACCACTTTTACCTAGGGGTGGCATATAATGGAGGTTCGCAACGTCATCCTCATAGTGAGTCAGTATAAGATCTAGTAAGGATGATTCAGAGTCCGGGTTGTACCTTATCGCTCCTTTCACATGTTGGACTAGGGAACATGTGATAACCCCATCGACTAGTTCCTGCTCGCAGATTTTCCCAGTCTACCATAGGTGTGTTAAAGTCCCCTAGGATTAGACAACGACCACTTTGGGACCAAGTATTGAGACTGCTTAACAGGATCTCATTTTCCTCACAGCTTGGACTGCGATAGACCAAACCAAACAGCAGCTCTTGTTCCTTGCATTTCAAGCGGCAACTAACTAATTCACACGTCCCACTCTCATGGGATACACTATCGATAGTGGCAAATGGGATAGCATTCCTAATGAAAAGACCTACTCCCCCTCCTTTACGCTTTTGTGTTCTGTCGGCCCTTACTAACGTAAAACCCTCGAAATCAAGTCCCATACTATCTATAGCCTGTGTCAGCTAGGTTTCTGTTACTGCGATTATGTCTGGCTTTGTCAGTTTGTCTTTTTAAAAAGTCAATCTGTACACCTAGTTCCAATTGCTTATTAAGTAAAATTCGAGCATTGTTGTAACAGATCCGAAGCCTGTTTAAGTGGCCTCGTGCTTCACCCAGAGTGGCTTCGGCATCATTCTCTGTCGAAGCCTTACAACCCAAAAATTTTCAACTTTCAGGTCCTTTTCGCCAGCGTCTAACCTAAGTTGTAGTTCTTTTTCGGCTTCCCGTCTTTTAATACGGTCTGCCAACAGTAAATCCTTTCGGATACAGACTCCTGAACCCTTTAATTTGCATCCATTCTGTAAAATTAGGTCACGTTCGTTCGAAGAGTTGAATACTACTTTAAGCAGTCTGGAATTATTCGGTTTCAAGTCCGCTAGACTCCCTAGTCTGTACACCTTTAGCAAGGTGACCCCGGTAATATTTTGAGGCATGAGTTGATTAAGCAGCTGCTTAATCAGCACAGTGTCATGCTCAAAACGAGCTTAAAGTTCAGAGCTCTCGCTCTCCTTGATTATATGAAAAATATCTGATCTGTCGCTATGATCAGCTTTCGATTTTACTACTTTCGTGGGGGTAGGATTACCTTTTATATCGCCACTTATTTTCTTCCTTACAACTTGTACCCATTCGTCAACGGTGCTGGGAGAAGCAACAAAAGTTGCGTCAAACCTAGTGTTGGATTCTGGGGGGTTGTCAACGACCTGAGAGATCAGGTTATGTTTACCGCTTGAAACCGATCGAGCCTTGCGATTGCTGCTTCTAGGCGTTTCTTGTTGGATCCCATCTGGGAGACGGGGAACAGAATAACTTACTTTCCCTGAGCTTTTGTTTAAGGCAGGCTCTTTTGGAGACTGCTTTTCCTTCTTTGACTGGCGTGAGTCATCTATTATCAAACTAACGTTAGTTTGCTTCATGTAATTTGCGTGTCGACAGATCGAGTGCTGTTTGACATCTTCCGACTACGCTTGCTAAAACACTTCTTTGCAGCATCAACCAGTAAGATGGCCTCGGTTAACAGGCAGTTTGCACCCGAACAGCACTGTTGACAAAGCCATACGCAACCCTTCTTACTGAACTGTTTGAAAGCCGCAGGCGTTAAGTTTGTGGAAACTTCGTGGTACCAGCCTTTGCACTCGTCGTACTGCATGCCACTTTCAACGGGATAACGACAACCCGGACGTTGGCAACTGCTTTTTTTACACTGTCCGAACATTAAAAAGGAGTCCTTTTCAAAAAGGAACGAGACGCGATGATGCTCTGAAACAAAAAATAATCAATGACCAAAAAGTGAAGAGCCTTAGATTGTTAGGACCCAAAGTATTAGCAGATTCAGTTGAAAATGAGGTACTCAAGAGTACTAACGATAAAACTAATTGAGAGAACGGCAAAAACGGTACTCTAGTCAAATACTTTAACTGAAATGAATTCAATTAAAGTGAAAACAGTAGTCTTGATACGTAATAAACGATCAAAATAATGAAATTTACTCAGCGAGGAAAAATACCACTGTCTTTTTTTTAATAGCAAACTAATGATTCCTTTGCATTTGACTACTCGCTTATCACAAATTCCAAGTAGAATACGTTTGTTCGTGCTTATCTTGTTCTGTCTGGCTTAAATCAAATTGAAATTTAGATTTGTGTAGTAAGGACAGAAGGACTATGGACTCTGTTATTCCTTCTAGTATGTTTCTGTGAGTGTCTTGTCTTCCCTTGAATGAGTCGTTTAAAGGTGCGGACACCACTGATTCGGGTAAGAGGTTCCAAGAATCGATGACTCGGTGTTAAAACCTGTATGCCATAGGTATTTTATTCGTCCTTGGCTTTTCTACTCACCTGATAAATCCTATGAGATATCAGGATCAGAATAAACAAATTAAACTATTGTTCCGGGAATTCCTAGTAAGTACAATAATTTTAATATTTCTAGTCTTCATAATGGTGAGATAAATGTCACT